AAACAGCCACACACAAGTAAGATAACAAAGAGATGCAAAGAGAATAATATGCAGGGTATCCCACGCCCCGAAATGTGCTCACCACCAATCACAATCACAATCACAACATCTAATGAAATGAATCTCTGAACATTTGTTTACTCAATGTCGAGCTGAGCTTACGTGCATTGTAAAGATCATTAGACTAAAGTGATGGACTAAACAGAACGACGAACATTTTGGGAGAAATTACGACTCGCGATACTCTTTCCGTAAACAGCAAAAGTGGGTGATGAAAATGACGCTGAAAATGCGCTTATGAAGCACAGGCTTTTACAAAATGTAATAAAACATTCCCTATACCGGGAAGGATGATAAGTGCATTCTTAAAAACTCAGCATAAATTTCTGTCTCTTTCTTTGAATTTCTTTGCGGAGCTGTTTGTAACTCTCTGCTCTATTTACAGGAAAGTTTGAGATAAGTTATCACCATATGGCCAGTCTAGGCTATTGGTTCACTCCTGAGCTAAATATTTACAATTTGATCGGGCAGAAAGCTAACGGGACGTAGGATATGAAATTTGAAGTTTCCACTCCTTTCCCATACACTACTAAGAAAACTGTAAGCATTACCAGCGGGGGTAACGGTTTTTTTTGGCGACTTTTTACTTAAACTCCTAATTCCTTATTCCTATTTCGAAATCAAATGAAAATTCCGCTAATTACCATAGATTTAGAGATAGCATGTAAAGAAAAGATATTTACCCGGCTTTGGCGAATTTACGTCATTGAAAACATTTCAATCGCAATTTAATAAGTAATTAAGTTGATTAGAGTGTGAGTACATTTTTTTTGGGAAACCCTATATATGTGTACATAATAGTCTTTGTAAGTCTGTGTCTTTTTTATTTTTTCTTTTTTGTATTGATATCCACTGATTACGATAGAGTTAGCAAAATTCGAGCTCTATTTACTTAAATATTTATGTTGCATATTGATTTATAGGAATCATATTGGCTGGAACAGTACTCATGGGCTCTATTTAAAGCCATGTCTCATATGCTATGCATAGGTTATGGCCGGTAAGTGTTCCATATATAATACCTTTATCTTGTTAGCTCTGCTCACAAATAACGTTTGTCGTTTCAGCTTTCCACCTCAGTCATTAACGGATATGTGGCTGACAATGTTGTCCATGATATCGGGTGCTACATGTTATGCTTTGTTCCTCGGTCATGCCACAAATCTTATACAAAGTTTGGATTCAAGCAGGCGTCAGTACCGTGAGAAAGTCAAACAAGTCGAAGAGTATATGGCGTATCGTAAGCTACCACGTGATATGCGGCAACGAATAACCGAATATTTTGAGCATCGTTATCAGGGTAAATTCTTCGATGAAGAATGTATTTTAGGGGAATTGAGCGAAAAATTACGAGAAGATGTTATTAATTATAATTGTAGGTAAGTGTAAGAAAATGCAACAGAGACGAATTTTTTTTATAATAAGTTACTGAACAGCAAAATAAAAATGATGATAACTTTTATTCATTACAGATCTCTCGTTGCGTCAGTGCCTTTTTTTGCAAATGCTGACTCCAATTTCGTTTCTGATGTCGTTACAAAACTTAAATACGAAGTATTTCAACCCGGTTAGTATTCAGTTTAATTCAGTTTAATGAACTTCTTACAATTGATTCTACATACGATACAAACAAAACGTACGGTACGGTAAACGCAAAGATTTATTAAAACATTTACAAAATAAAACCAAGAATTAATTTATGCTTGGTTTGAAGATTTAAACCATAAATAATACGCTTAGTTCACGTAGTTGAAAGCTGGTGTGAGAGTTTGTTTTGAGTTTTTTCCAAAGTTCGCCAGTAATAACATTAGTTATATATTAAGAGGACAGAGTAACACATTGTGAGGACGCCATCCCGTGCTTGTTGTGTTAGCTTTCAGTTTTCCTTACAATAATATTTCCGATTTGATTTGGTACATTGGAATGAACACATGACAAATCCCCTAGTAACCAAAAGTAGTGATGAACAAGTATAGATCAGTTAGGGTATAGAAGGTTCCTTATAGCGTTTGTTTTCATATATTTAGCAAAAACGAAGGGCTGAAAACGAAAGGGAGAGTTCTATTTTTCATTCATAATTACTTGCTGTGACAACTGCGTTCATTTAAAATAGTTTGTGGATACCATGGTAATACAGAAAATACGTCATCGACGTAACTCGAAAAAAGAAAAGAAAAACAAAACGAAAAGATTCAAAAAGCGGTGCTACAGCAGTTAAAATTTGTCATCTCATTGAGAGCTCAAAATATTGCATTTGATTTGTTTGTGTGTATTTGGTGGGTTTGGCCTCAAGCCTATCCGTGCTCCAGAACGTTGTGAATTTATTGTGAAAACAGAAACATGTGGAAAGACATTGAAACGATTAATCTTCGATTTAAATTTGAAAATCAATTGATATTATAGAAGTGGGGGCAGTTCGATCTCGAGCCGTTCTAGATCTGCTTAAAAGTGCATCAATCCATATTAAAAGCTGGAATTTATTTATTTTTTATTTTTAAATTTCAGGTGATATTATTATAAAAGAGGGTACAATCGGAACCAAAATGTACTTTATACAGGAAGGTGTGGTTGATATTGTGATGGCCAATGGAGAGGTAAGTTTAATGATATTTTTCATAAATTGTTTTAACAAATACATATATGTTCATGTGAACATCGCCCAGGTCGCCACATCCTTATCAGATGGCTCATATTTCGGTGAAATTTGTTTATTAACGAATGCCCGGCGTGTGGCCAGTGTTCGCGCGGAAACGTATTGCAATTTATTTTCATTGAGTGTCGATCATTTCAATTGCGTATTGGACCAATATCCGTTAATGAGAAAAACAATGGAAACTGTGGCAGCTGAGCGTCTTAATAAAATCGGTAAAAATCCTAATATTATGCAACAGCAACAAAAAGACGAACAAATCAGTAATCCCGAGTCGAATACCATAACAGCGGTGGTGAATGCTTTAGCAGCTGAGGCAGACGATTGCAAAGATGAGTAAGTCACAAAAAATATTAAAAAAAAAAAAGAAGAAGAGAAAAAAAAGGCGAATTTAACGAATTGTTTATATCTTTTGAAAATCATTTAGCAGTGACCTCGATAACAAAGAGAATTTATTACACGGCTCACAGTCAAGCATAACAGAGCCAATACAAACGATACGAGAAGGTTTACCGCGACCGAGAAGCGGTGAATTTCGCGCTCTATTCGAGGGTAATACACCATGACACTGAGAGCCACCAACAGCAATATCAACGCCAACAATACAACTGCAGCAACAACAGCGCATGCAGTTGCGAACATTTGCTCATGATTCAAAGCGAGCAACATTATGAGATGTCATCATTAGCAGCAATCACAGCCATCATTATTTCAGCAGCCGTAGAAAACGCAACAGCATTAGTGTTAATAGCCAAAGCATTAACAGAATCGAAAGCATTAATAACCGCATCCGCATCCGCATCCGCATCTGCATCTGCATCAGCACTCGCATTCGCATTCGCATTCGCATTTGCATACACGTCTTAGCAATTTTCGGCTAACAATTCAACTGTACAAAAATGCTTTATAGTGTAGTCGCGTGATTAATGGATGGCATACGCAAAGCAAAGCAAAAAATATTTCCCCTCCAAGATAAAAATAGTTAAGAAGCCTTACACAACAAACAAATCTCACCCACTTACACTATGGACACATTGCATGTAAAGAGCACCCGGCAACACTGGCTAACTTGTGCCCTGCTACCATACCATACTCAATAACCAATTACAGGATGTCTGAGAGAAGCATTTCTTTTACATTTTTTAAATCAGTTATCGTTCGAAAGCAAAAACCTTTTCCGTACAACAAACAATTCTCTTAAGGTAAAAATACTTGAAAATGCATTTTGATTTCTTGGATGATTGCTACAAATTAACTCCGAGTTACTATCCGCCTGAGTGGCCGAAGGGGAGGAATCTCGACTAGCAAGTCAATGGTCGTGGGTTCGAATCTCAAGTGCGGTAGGGTTTTTAATAAGAAGCCGATAGCCTTAGATGCTAGTGCTTTTAAGAGTTTAGTCTTAGAATTCATTTCTCTGGCGAAATTAATAATAATAATAATAATAATAACTCCGAGTTTATTCGTCATAATTATTTATGTTTATTCCACAACACATTTCATAGCCGTGTACGGGGGTATCTATCTAAGCGGTGATGTTTTCTCTTTCATATCGCTTGAGTCGCTAGAGGTCGCGAAAAAAACTCGATAGATTACTTTACGGAAACAATGAAGATCCAAGGGCTAAAAGATTGCGAACCTTGGCAAGTGCAGCCGAGAATTTCTAAGCAGATCCTTTGTTTGACTCGATTAGTTGCGTTGTTGTAATGCATTCATCAACGAAACTATTCTGGAATGTAAACTAAAAAAAGGTAACAACACTTCCATTAAGCAACTGTCTCGGCCGCTTTTAGCTCCAACAATTATATAACCGTATAAGTGAAAAAGTTGTTGATCAAAATTAAATCTACTCTCGGCATCGCCGATCGAAAATCGGTAGGTGATGCCAGTCCCCACAAATGACGGCAATTTGCTATTCCACAAGCTCGATGAAACTTCTCTTTTTTCTATATTATTGAATTATGGTATATTCCACAAGAGGTATATAAACTCCTTAAGGTGTAAGAATAATCCACGAAATATTAATTTGTACATAACGCTTGAAAAAGTTGCCTGTAGCTGGTGGTTTGATGGGACAATTTAGTTACAAAGCGAACGTTGGAATCTAAAACCTGTTCCGCGATTTCAGCTTTTTCCCTGATTCAAGTTATCCTAGGTTGTGTTTCGTTATGTTCTGTTCATTCGTACAGTGTGAGCAACTTGTGCGCTTCAAATTCAAATTGTACCCTAGACTGACGGAATTCATCGAATTTGGGTAAGGTTTGAATGTGAGATTTTGCTCGGCGTCTTAAGAGGTTAGCAAAATATTGCCAATACGAAATATTGGAAATATTATGTTGTTGTTGTAAATTTATTTACCTTTGCTCGCCCGGCCGTGTAGTGGAAGTCATTTGGCGAATAGCTTTCAATACGTTTATAATTAAACTATACTTAAATTTTGAAACAAGCATGGACACGCCTACAAGGTAATACCTATCAATTGAAAAGTCGACCTCACAGCATGTATTGTTTAAGACCAAGTCTGAAAATCCGCTACTAAAACAATCCTATGTCGCCGGCAATTTGCAAAAGGGTGGTACTAAGTACCGAAAGTTCATGCAAGAATTTTTATAATTTTAACTAAAGATGAACAAGAGATGGATAATCAAAGTTATCTATAGCCAAAATTTACAGGGATTTTTTAGACGAACTTATGATGGTTTAGTTTCGGCCATAAACCGCGGATGTGAAGTAAATTGAATTCTCATAAAACTGAAATGAATTATGTCTTTGCCTCATCCGCCTGAGTAGCCGAAGGCGAGGAATCTCGACTAGCAAGTCAATGGTCGCGGCTTCGAATCTCAAGTGCGGTAGGGTTTTTAATAAAAGCCGATAGCGTTAGGTGCTAGTGATTTTAAGAGTTTAGTCTTGGAATTTATTTCTCTGGCGAAATTAATAATAATAATAATAATAATAATAATAATAATAATATGTCTTTGCCTATACTTGGGTCATTCCTTACCTCCCTCATAAATTACATGTACTGACTCCTTCTGTGTTTACTCCGGGACTTGCATTGGCTTTTTATCTTCATCAAGATACATAGATATATTTTAGATATTTTTACTCTTAGATCTGTGAGGACACGCAGAAATGAATTTGCCGCAGTATGTAGGTAATCGTTCCACCTTTCTTTTCTATTGCAGAATTTTAAGACATTGCTTTGCCTTTTTCCCATAATCGATGTATGTATATTGATTAATTGTTTCCCTATACCTGCGATTTGGGTGTACGGATCCTCTCTTCATCTATCTGATCTATATCGGAAACTATATTTGACATAATGGCTGCGAGTTCCTTTTTGCATAGTATAAATATGGATTTCATCTTTGTTTATATTCAGGACGTGTGGAGGCGAAGTATCTCTTTATCTAAAGCGAAACATGAAAATGAATTCGATATCGCAACCTGTAGGTGTTTAAGCCTTCCGGGTATTTATTAAGGCAGTCCTAACAGTTCATCACAATTTGTGAATACAGATCATTGCCCTTTGTTTAGCCTAGCTTGCGGATGTTGATGCGTTCTTTTCCTTGATCTTGTCCTAACAGGAGTTTAAGGAGACTCGTTGTTCTTTCATCTAGTCCGCGACTTGATTTCTTTCTTGTCTATGTTTTGCATGTATAGGAATTGATCAATCTATGCGCGGGAATATTGAAAGTGGTTTGTGGAATTTATCTTTCCTGTTTACTCTGGCTGTAACCGGTCACTAGTCGTAAGAGAAAATGCACATTTTTTTGTAGTTCCGAAGAAATGGTCACAATAACAACCGTGCTTTGTGACCTATGATGTCTCTGTGCTCTTGCTTAGAATATGGCTTTTTGCGCCTGTTAGATAGATGTGTAGATATTTTTTGTTATTTCCACGACATAAGCGCTTAGCAGCTGAAAAATGAGTCGTCGAATTACCGGAATTGCTTTTTTCTCATTTAAGAAGAAGGCACAATGACCTGGTATCCACCCCAGATGGCAATCCTTAATAGCAGATTTATATAACATCTTCTGTATTTCAAACATGTACGGATCACATCGATCTCTTGTATCTATTAGAAGCAGGATTGGTTTCCCATTCGAATAAAAAAAAAATTTTTTTTGGTTATTTGTAGTACGGTAAGGTTCGCAACGTGCCTGGTGGATAGTAATTTCACGAAAGCTGAACACTTTGACACAGTGTAATCTTTCGCGTGGATACTTTTCTACGTAACGGCCGACAGATTCATCGGTTACATATACATCGTAGCCATTGTCATAATACAAGCTTCAAGGTTCTCATGGCGTAAAATCTTCAGACAGGAATAGTTGATATTCCGCACAAGCGAAAAAATGATTATGAGGTATTTGTGCCGTTGCTCAGAATACGGCTCTTTCCCTCTATTCTCTATAATTAATACATCGACTTAATTGAGGCAATCATCCAAGAAAGCGAAAGCAAAAAAAAATCAAGTTATTACCACAGATGGAATTGTTTCGCAAATTTTTAAAACACTAATGCATGCCAGGATAAGACAGAAAAAACCTATTAACGAAATAGATCCATAAACAACTATAACCACAAAAAACCAAATCCTTAAATAATTAAAAAAAAAAAAAGAAAAGTATTAACAAATTTTTTCAGCTCCGCAAACTGTGATGACTTATATATAAGAAGAAAAAACAAAATATATAAAAACAAAATAAAAGGAAATAAAACAAAACCAGAAGAAAAAACAACGCTATAAAAGATAAACGAACAAAATTGCATTAAAACTAAAAGAAAAAAAAAAAAAAAAAGAAA